ACAGGACAAAGCAAGTAAGATATGATTACTCTTTAAACTTGTCACTTATTTTGATACGTGTGAAGTGCATTCACCATGATTAAGATCTTATGTCTGTCTTTTCCTGCTTGCCTTGCAATGCTTCAATGCTTAAAATTTCTTCAAAAGGATTAGTTAAAGAGGAAGTTAACTTCTTTTTTTTTAATCTGTGTCCAATATTCATAAATACACAGGTGTAATGATATTCTGCACCTTTATTTTTGAAATTTCAAAGAAATGAGTATGCTAAAACAGATATCACTATGGAAGTAGGTTTATTTTGTACATTAGTATTCCTGATTTAGGTTATTCAATTGAGAACAAGTTTGGTACGGTAAACTTGTACTGCAAAATGGCTGGACACATCAGGGCCCAAGAAGCTAGTTTTTTTGAGGCCCTCTGTATATTATGTTTAGGATTCTTGGAAGCTTGTGAGTGGTGAAAAATGCATCCCTCACAGCTATGCCAGCAAAGACAGTAAAAACTTTTCTTGTGTATTTTTGGTCAAAATATCTATCAAGACAAGATGAGACAGATGGTGAATGAGTTACGGGATGTCTGATTAAATTGCTTTTGATGTGAATATATGTGACATTAGCTTAGTAAAGAATTATATGAGATATGGCCTTAATCATTACTGTTCTTAGATTGTAGAGTATTATTCTCCCTCTGGTAGAGTGCTGGCTTTTTGCAAGGTCTTGGGTTTACAGCTGGTTGCTCCTCTTAGTTGACTACTGGGAACGAATACTTACAGCATGCTGGGATCAAAGTCAGGGTGGAAAGGAACTGGCCACCCAACTGCATAAACCCATGGCTTAGTGCACAAGTTCTTCAATTGACAAGTCCCCTATGTCCACTTGGATATGGGATGAAAGAGTTTTTAAAAAGTTGTCCAGTGTTATGACGGAAGAAGAAGTCATTTGATTTGTATGTATATATTGTATGTGTTTATATTTGATTGCATTTTATGAATTCTGTTGTAAGAATGGGATTTTCCACTGCTGTAACCAACTTTTAAACACAAGCTTTAAACACTTTCTTCACTCAGACAAAGCACTGACATCTGTACACAGGTTTTAGATTTAATTGAAATAAGAAAGGAATGTGAATTATGCATTACTTTTCTGTTTCATTTATTCTCAATATCTACATCATTTCTTGTAAGGACTGGATTGAAAAGGCCATTACGGACAGGTAATTGATTATGCAATTTAGCATCACTCCTATAAAGGGTGGCAGGCTGTAATAAAACCCCGGAAGACATACTTGCTGACGTTCTAGGCCTTGGACCATCCACATTGAGGATATCTCCGGAGAACACATCAACATCACTACTATTTTCTGTAGCAATAGTTACAATTGGGTTGTCTTCGCCAAGATCATCATTTACCCAATCATTGGAGTCAAGGTTGTTGCTGAACACTGCCTGAGGGTAGAACTGATTGTTATTGGCTACATATATTACTGATCCATATTTCAGATTTCCTTCAATTCACTTACCATCAGGAGCAAAACTCGGACTAACTACAACCTAGCACATATTTCTACACTTACTGGAGGTGGTTAGTGATGGGTATTTTATTACTCTCATTATCATTAGAGACCGACAGACAGCCACATGTATGTATATATGTACCAGCCTAAGATTCAGATATATTCTATAAATGTAACTGTAACAGTGTAACATCATTGTTAATATAAATATAACTTACTCCCAGAAAAAAAGAAATATAATAATCCAGGTATCCTGAGTACCTAAATATGCTATTGAAGCTATTTGCATGACAACTTCCGAAGGACAAATTACTAACAGGTACAGTAGTGTGATCGACTTAAAACAAACTCGTGATCGACTGGTTAGTCACCCCTGAATTAGTCCAACGGTTCATTTTCGTTATCTATGAACCGTATCTATGTTGACAAATGTAGAAAAGGTATGAATGAGACTGGATATCTTCACAATACAAGAGATGTATTTGACCGGTTTCGATTACGTCTTCATCAGAAATACATATATACATGTATTTCTGATGAAGACGTAATCGAAACCGGTCAAACACATCTCTTGTATTGTGAAGATATCCAGTCTCATTCATACCTTTTCTGCATTCGTTATCTATACTTAGGCTATCTATATCGTCGTAATGTGACCTTATTTGATATTAAATGGTTTAATTTATGGCGTAGGGTCTCACCTTCAAGTATCTGGCAATTTCTTTCTTGGTCGTCGTGCCAACCGAAGACAAGTTATCCATCAAATACTGCGGCATGGACACCGAAGGCACCTTGAAGTACCCATAGGGAATCCATCCCTTTGGTGGGAGGTCTTCAATGTTTTCATAATCCACCTAGGAAATGAAATTATGAAATGATATGACAGTATTTTTTTTTCATTTCACTTTGGAGTTTAAGTCTTTAAAGAGGTAAATCGAGATAAATGGTTTAAAGAAAATGTAAATAATTCTCATGATGGCTATAAAACTGCGAGGAAAAAGAAAACAGATTTCATACCCCATGACTACTTATGACATATCAATATCATGTTCAGTAAGAAGAAATATTGGTGCATTGCGATTCAGCCATTAAAAAAAAAAAAAAAAAAAAAAAAAAATAATGGATAGCATACCTTTACCACCAACAGAGGCCTTCGGGTATGGACCTTGAGAATACCCGGTGTGTAGAAGGCTCTGTGTTTGGCGAGGGCAGGTCCCCATGTAGGTCGAGGCTCTAGGAGCTCTTTGGGTGACTGAAAAGAAGTGTATATTTTCATTTTTATTTTATGTCTTTTCTTTTATTTGTCTATTTGCTTCTTTGTGTGTGTGTGTGTGTGTGTGTGTGTGTTGTGTGTTGTGTGTGTGTGTGTGTGTGTGTGTGTGTGTGTGTGTGTGTGTGTGTGTGTGTGTGTGTGTGCGTGTGCGTGTGCGTGTGCGTGTGCGCGTGTATATGATGTGTATATGATATGATCCTCATTTAGGTCATAATTAATGCTTCAACAGATTACCCATATACCGTTCTTTCCCAAAAACGTAAAAAAAAAAAAAGTAAAAAAATAAGCACGCAAAATAATGCAGCAAAACATGTACAAATATCCGAGGCTCTACATTACTCTACCTTTCTGTTGGTGTAAAGAACCACCAGCGTAGCGGCGGGACAGAGGAAGACGGGGAGCAGGGCGAGAGCTAGGCCTATGTTGGAGTAAACCTTCTCGTCCGATTCAGTTAGGTGCGGATGGTCCCACCACTCGGGTCCCTCGAGGCCCACGACGCACACCCAGATCAGCAGTGCCTTGAACAGGGCCGGAGAATACAGGTAAATCAGTTGTTTAATGATTGGGATGATCTTTATAACTGACATGCGAAAATCAGTTGTTTAATGATTGGGATGATCATTATAACTGGTATGACTGGCATGCGAATAACTGACACGTTGCCAAACTAAAAAAATAATTGACAAGTTGCTAAATCTTGATATTCATATCACGGGAAGGAATGTGGATTCTCTTGTATTCCGATAGAATTCAAGATGGTTTTGCTTCGTTAATTGCTCATAGTCTGGCCTCTCCAGCGACCCCACGATGCTCACCAGGAGAACGGGCGACAGGATGAACTTCCAAAGGACAGGAAACACCAGCGTCTTCTTTCGTATCATCACATGGAAGTGTTTGGTGATGTTCTTCGTCCCGTAAAGATAGACGAGGCCGGATACTTCTAGCAATCCTAGCACCAAGCCGTACATCCAGGGTATGTACGCGTCCATTGCATTCAGTAAGTAGAAACCACCCTGGGGACGATGTGAAATAAGAATTTATGTCAGTAAGTAGAAAACCTTCGCGTAGGATGATAAAAGAGTGAATCGCGTGAAAGGAAAATGCTAAAGATATCGAAATATCTGTTTTATTCTTTATATCGGGAAACCAGAGACCAAATGTTTATCAAAATGGGTCCTAGACGTTTTATTCTTTATATCGGGAAACCAGAGATCAAATGTTTATCAAAATGGGTCTTAGACGACTTTTCATGTGCACGGCAAATGGGAAAAAAAGTCAACAACAGCTAAACCACAAACATTACAGGGCCATTGGACATTCCCGGAAAATAGACCTATCCTTTACAGCCACCCACGAGAAGCATACTCCACCCGCATAAAGACAGACCGGATTTCAGCCACTTACCCGAGACACGAAGAACAAACTAGCCAACAGCCCGCCCAGGCACACGAGGCACTCGCACGTGAACCGCCGCCCACCACTTCGCCACTTAATGGGCAGGAGGTCGTTGATGCTGACCAGTACGGTGGCGGCGAGCGAGTTCGTGTGGTCGAGGAGAGCCTTGCACACGCACAGGTACAGCACCACGCCGGCCAGTTGCTGTTCTTGCATTCGGGCGACGGCGTAGGACGAAATGACGAAGAAGTAACCAGGGCCTGCGGGAGGAGAGAGACGGTGAGTGTGGCCTCTCTCTTCCTTTCTATTCCTTTCTCTTTCTCTCTCTCTCTCTCTCTCTCTCTCTCTCTCTCTCTCTCTCTCTCTCTCTCTCTCTCTCTCTCTCTCTCTCTCTCTCTCTCTCTCTCTCTCTCTCTCTCTCTCTCTCTCTCTTCTCTCTCTTCTCTCTCTCTCTCTTCTCCCTTTCTCCGTCTCCTCCACTCCATCTCATCTCCGTCTCATGATTATAATTAATTATCCTTATCATTATTATTATCATTTCTACTATTATGATTATTATTACCATCATTATTAAATTATCATTATTATTATTATTTCTCCTCCTTTCTTCTTCTCCCTCTCCCTCTTCCTTCTCCTTCCCCATTATTATTAGTATCCTCCTCCTCTAAATCCCTCTCACTTTCTTCTCCTCGTCCTTCACATCCTCTTCCTCCTCCTCCTTTTTCTTCTTTTTCTTCTTCATCATCATGTTCTCCTCCTCATTTTTCTCTCTCCTTTCTCTTTTTATCTTTTCTGTTCCTTCCTCTTTCTCCTCCCTCTTCCCACTTTCTCCGCTTCCTTCTTCCCCCCCTCCCCTTTCCCTCTCCCTAACCCTCTCCATCTCCAACTCTCCCTCTCATTTCTTCCATCCTTTCTTACTCCCTCTATGTATTTCATTTTTTTTCCTTTTCCTTCTCTTTCTTTTCCTCCCCTTCTCCCTTCTCCTCTTCTCTCTCCCTCTTCCTCCCCTTCTCCCTCTCCCTCTTCTTTTCTCCCTCCCCTTCTTCCTCCCCTTTCTCTCTTTCTCCCTCTACGTATCTCAAAATACCCATCAATTCAACAATCACAAATACATTCATCATCGAACAGCGACTCGCAACTCGACCCTCGAAGACTTGCTTTTATCGGACGTCAGATGGTTGAGGAAAGGGAAGAGGGCCAAGTGCAGGAGCAGTGCCACGAAAATGTTGGCTCCCACGGCTGTGTAGGCGTCCAGGCGGATCTGCGGGAATGGCGTGAGAAAAGGGTCGGTTTGTTAGTGTTGTACGAAAGAAATGGGTTGTTTGTGTGTATTGTATGAAAGAAATGGGTCGTTTTGTTAGTATTGTATGAAAGAAAAGGGTTATTTGTTAGTATTGCATGAAAGAAATGGGTAGTTTGTTAGTATTTTATGAAAGAAAAGGGTTGTTTGTATTGTACGAAAGAAATGGGTTGTTTGTGTGTATTGTATGAACGAAATGGGTCGTTTGTTAGTATTTTATGAAAGAAAAGGGTTGTTTGTCAGTATTTTATGAAAGAAAAGGGTTGTTTGTTAGTAGTGTCCGAAAGAAATGGGCAGTTTGTTAGTATTTTATGAAAGAAAAGGGTTGTTTGTTAGTAGTGTCTGAAAGAAATGGGGAGTCTGTCAGTAATGTACGAAAGAGGTGGATCGTTTGTCTGTACTGTATGGAAGCAAAGGGCTGTTTGTTAGTATTGTACGAAAGAAATTGGTCGTTTGTCTGTATTATATGAAAGAAAAAGATTGTCAGTAATGTACGAAAGAACAGGGTCGTTTGTCAGTGTGGTACGTAAGAAATGGGTCGTTTGTTAGTATTGTACGAAAGAACAGGGTCGTTTGCAACAGAATTTAGACAAACTGATATATGTTGATAATAATATATCATAGATAAAGATATACAGAAAATGATAATAAAGTGATGGAAACTTTGCCGCCAGGATTATGGCCTCACCCTCTCCCTGAAGCGTTTATAGCTGGCTCTGGAGATGAGGATGCCAAGAGTAGGGCCTAGTGTCCACAGTGCCTGAGAGAGACAGGGAAATAACGGTAATAAAAGCGTAATGATAGATAATGATTTTAATGAATGTCTTGAGGGAGACAGGGGAAAAAAGCATGGAACTCGCTCTACTTGTGTTCAATTTAAAAGATCGTAATAATTGAAAAAAAAATGCGATTTTGATAGTATTGACCAGATAGAGACAGGGATAAATACTCTTGCCATTTAGTTAAGAAGAGCCTTATGGCAGGAATAATAACCGTGATATTATTAACAGCACTGCCTACGGCTCTCGTCCTCTCACCTGCCCCAAAGCATCCACCCAAATGTCCGGTTTCGCCAGATTGCTCGGCCGCACCTTAAAGACGGCATAGAGACCCGCTCCGCTCTCCCTAAAGGTCAGACCCACCGCCACCATGGCCACCAGCATGGCCAGGGTCAGGAGGGCCATCGCCTTGCTGAATATCCCGCTCTGCCACACGTTCCGCCGCGACACGAGGAACACGAGGGCGAGCCACAGGAACAGCTGGATGAGAGCCAGAGATAAGTTCGGGGAGAGGGCGTCTCGGGGCTCGAACACCTGCGCCACGTTATCTCTTGGGGAGGAAGGAGGGAAGGGGAGAGACATAGGTGTAAGTTAGGTCTATCTTATCTATTTAATTACTTATTTTATGTGTATGTAATTATCTACTTTTGCTCATTTATTTATTCATTTATTTGTCCAATCGTTCATTCATCTGATCTGCAGGTTATCTGTTCTGGCCATCTGAAGTCTGAAAAAGACAATGTCGAATACTTGGCTCCTTGCACCAGGAATACTTACAGAAAGTAGAAATCACTCGGAAAGTACTTTGTCACGTCTGTGGCATTCGAGGCGTTTAGGAAGGTCTTCTGAGGTTCCATGCAATATTTCGTTCCATTCGGGCAGTTTTCCCAGGGCAGCTTCTTGTGCATGCAGTCAAAGAGGTAGAGGGTACTCCAGGTGAAGACGGTGCTTGTGTAAACCATGAGGACGCTGCAGGCTGCCACCATGCCAATGCCCACACCTGTGTTGTAACGAGAACTATGCTGAAGCGACCGCGACTTCCTTTACAAATCGTTACTTAACGAAAAAAAGGAACTGCAGTTTCATAAAAGTGTGATGAGCTCTTCGGAATCTTTAGAACACACAAAAGGTAATAGTGAATTAAGGATCAGAGTGATGAGGCCTTGTTGACTATGAGGGAAGTAACACGCCAAATGGGTATGAGTCAAGCAGCTCGTTTAAACAAAATAAGCATTTGACGAGAAGAGGAAGACTAACCAGTGAGGACGGGAAGACACCTGAAGATGGTCACGGTGCCCAGGGACGAGAACTGGGCCATCGTGAGCTCGAGGACGCTGGTCGGAAGAGCCACCACAAGGAGCGTGATGCAGTACGCCAAGAGGAAGCCAGCTGGAAAGAAAACGGCGTGGAGGTGAGTGTCCGTTTTCTGTGGCGTCTCTCGCGCGTAGATTGGTGCTCTGTCAATAAAACAATCAAAGGAAAGAACAAGAAAATACATGAATGTTTCTTGTTCTTCCCCATCGTTGTTTTATTTGCAGTTTTGTTCGGCTTGTATCCTGTATAAAGGTTAATGCTCGTTTGTATGTGGTGAATTGGTATATTTTTCCGTGCTTGTGCAAACGTCTGTGCTTCTTCAGAATCAATATGAACACACGGGAATACATACATAACTAAAAAAAAAATTGAGAACTAAGAGAGCAAATGCCATCCGTAAAATACCACATGCCAACAATCCTGATCCTGAATCCTGAAACCTCATGCCATCCCACCATTTCGGATTTCAACAACAACAAAAGACACTCAGCGACGCACAGCCATCGGAGCTGCCCCACTTGTAGGCGAGCGCTGGCAACCTGAAGAAGGCGGGAGAGGCCAGCGCGAGACACAGGTGGTTGAGGACGTTGGAGAGGCCGTAGGTCAGGAGGGGGTCTTTGTCCTTCTTGCTCTCCTCGTTCACGGCGTCCAAGGGCGTGTCTCCTTCGCCTTCGTCGCCGGAATCTTCCCCTGGCTTGCTCCCGACGGCCGGACTGTGGTGAGCCTGTGCCCGGGGATTCCACCATGTTGATTTCCGTTTTATTCGTGTTCATGGCTGTTTAGATGAGCCTTTGCAATGTGTACCGGATGACTGCATGTTACTGGTACATCTAATTCAGTGTGTTTAAGAAATGATAGGAAGCCATGTTATAGGATTCATTATTACTAATACTCAAGACATGTATGCGAAATTACAAGACATCGCTGACCTACGTCACTAATGCGACTATTTTGTAGACGCAAGATGGTCAACTTACCATCTCGATCTTGATTTTCTTATCGAAGTAGGCGGTGTCGGGCAAGGGAGCGACGCCCCCGACCGTGCGAGCTCCGGAGAGGCTGTCCCGTCGGCTCAGGATGGACACGGCGTCGTCGTCCCGCTCGTCCACCTCCAGCACCATCGCCCCCCCTGGCATGTTCACCATCTCTGCAGGTGGAAGGGAGGGGGGGGGTTGAGGTGGAGGGGACCGGGGGCGTTGGTGGGGGGTGGGGGTGGAGGGGGGTGCGTGGGGGGAAGGTGAGGTGGTGGGTGGATGTCGATGTGTGGGGGTTTGGTGGGGTTGGGGTCTAGTGGAGGTTATGCTGTTTGTAAATGGATAGAGATGTCTTTACAGGTTTTTGTACTTCATGGGAAAGTAGACACACAGACATGCACGCGTACACACATGCACACACACACACACACACACGCACACGCAGACACACACACACACACACACACACACACACACACCACACACAACACACACACACACACACACACACACACACACACACCATCCCCATCCCCCCCCCCCCTCCCCTCCCCTCCCCTCGCCGAGATGTCAACGTTACCAATTCTGGAGATCTTCCTCGACTTCGACGTGACGGAGGACGACGCCGACATCCTCCTGGAGGGGGCGCTGACGAGGCTCGGAGTCTGACCTTGGCTGGCGGTCGACCCCATCGAGTACCCCCTCTCTTTGGTCTCCATCTGGTGGGGAAAGGAGGTGGATGGGCGCCAGTTCGAAAGAGGAAGAGAAATAGGGAGATGGGTGGCGTGTATAGTAAAATTTGGATAAATGAGAGAGATGGAGAAAGTACCCCTCCGTACAGGAAAAAAAGACAGGTAATGATAATAATAAATGTAATGATAAATGTAATAATAATAAATGTAACTGTCTTAATTCCATTTGAATTATATCTTTGCAATGACTTCCTGTCTGTTGATTTGCTTCTAAATCCCCCCCCCCCCCCGTGTGCAAGGAATAGCCGGGGTCACCATCCACTGGCAGAGCGGGATTTGAACGCGGGTCAGCAGGATTGCCAGACGTGAACGCTACCGCTTCACTACACAGCACACAGGTATAGGCAGACGCAGAGACACGGAGAGGCAAGCAGACACAGAGACAGAAATACAAGCAGACAGACAGACGAACAGACAGACACTCAATCACACAAAGACAGACAGGGAAATAGACAAACAACCTGGTAGACAGAGAGACAGACATAAACAGCCATGAAGGTAAAAACAAGCTGGCGAACAGACAACACGCAAGGACATTGACAGATAAACAATCAAACAGACAAATAAAGTCACACAATAAACAGACAGACATGTAGGCAAACAGACAGACAACCCCATAACGACAAACAACAATCACAACGACAAACAAACAACCACACAACGACAAACAAACAAACAACCACACAACGACAAACAACCACACAACGGCAAACAAACAAACAACCACACGACACAAACAAACAACCACACAACGACAAACAAACAAACAACCACACAACGACACACACACACACAAACAACCACACGACAGACAGCAAAACATGTAGCTAACCAGGCATACAAACAACTACACAATAACAGACAAACACGTGGGAAAAACAGCATACAAACAAACAAACGAAGGTCCTCCCAAACGACATGACCTTTTGACATGACAATTTCTCCATCCGAGGAATTAAGAGATCGAGAGCAGGTCTTATCTCCGAGATAAAAGGATGTTTAGAGTGATAAGACGATATTAGGTCAAGATCTTGATGTTGATTCATGCTTATTGATTTAATTATTCAACGATGAAGACAGTGTAAGTACGGATAATTGAAATTGAATTTTCATATTATAACGATGATATATGGAGACATTAAATTATCCTCAATATATTGAAAATAGTGATGGTGATAACGATAATGAGATTTCTATTGCTTAAAAAATGTATTGATATAATGGTGGTAATGATAATGATATGAACAGTGATGATAACACTAATGGTATCATTAATAATTATAATTACCATTATGATGATACTAGGCAAGCTAATGCTAGTATTAATCATTATACGATAGCAGCAATATTAGATTCATATAATACTGAGAATTTGAATATTACAGAATAATCGTCAATACAGATATAAGTAAATCTTATTATAGATAATAATGTTAATCAAAGTAACAATAATCATAATAAATAACATAGCAGTAACCACGCCAATGATAACGACGGAAAAATAAAAATAGGCATGGCTCAAACTATCAACAGAAGTAAGAATATTTAATTGATATGACCGCTAATCATTAACAGGGCTTGAAGTGACCATCGCTGCCGGCAGATGACCAACACGGCGCTCTCAAGGGTCGGTGACTTGGACTCCGTATCTTATCAGAACGGCTCCTTTTATCAATGATTAGTTATGGAATGGGGATAACCCGACAAAAAGCATTGGCAAAGAAAATTCCAGAGGAATGCATATGTTTATAGATATATAGATTATACACACACACACACACACACATATATATATATATATATATATATATATATATATATATATATATATATATACATATGTATATATGTATGTATATACATGTATACACATATACGCATATGTATGTATATATGTATATAACACTTATAATTATATATATATATATATATGTATATATATATATACATATATATATATATATATATATATATATATATATATATATATATATATATACACACACACACATAATCATAGATGTTATATCAGGATTCGCCCGCATCCTTAAAAGGGGAGTGTGTGTGTAAAACTTACTCCTTATCCTGTATGAGTAGGTAATGTCTATGGATGCTAGTAAGCTCCTAGTTGCACACTTCTTTTGTTGGGTCGTGTATCAGTGGATAGAGTGCCCGTCTTGTGATTTCTTTGCAATGGCGGTGGGGGTTCGAATCCCTGTCAGAGAGGTTATAAGTTCATGATATCAATGCGGCCAGTGCATTATTCCATCTTTCATATATATGTATGTGTATATATGTATATATATATATATATATATATATATATATATATATATATAAAATGAAACTAGCCACAATGAGAATTGAAAATAAGGTTGACGTTTCGAACTCTTCACGATTTCCTCTTCAGACAAAAACCGAAATGGATACCAGGAGAGAATATTGATTATATCATGATAGAGAGACAGAATGAACAAGATCTGAATCAGGTCTCAGGGGAGGGTCAAGGTCGAAGAGTCTGCGGAAGGCTTTGCTAACAAGTGATGAGTTAAGGTCATCCAACCCATTGGCCAAAACTCAACTTAAATTAGGCAATTTTCTGATTAGAAGGGCTTCAATTATTTTTCTTTCTTTTGGCGTCTTTCCAATTTAACTGATGTCCTTCGTCACGTAAATGAATAAAACAAGCATTAGATTCTCTGGCGTGCCTGACATCACGTCTATGTTCAGTTCCTGCTACTAGGAGGTTTATCTCTGCTGTTTATTTCCAGTTGCACTGTATTTACACATGATTCAGTTCACGTAAGCTATCTAAAAGACTGCATCTTTCTCGCCCTCCATGAAATCCTCGGTTGAAATTCGGCTTCTTGTGTGTGTGTGTGTGTGTGTGTGTGTGTGTGTGTGTGTGTGTGTGTGTGTGTGTGTGTGTGTGTGTGTGTGTGTGTGTGTGACGCGATTTGTTTAGGCGCAGGCTTCTAGGTGTCCACTTGCCCTCATGACCACTTACCTCAGCGAATAAAACGTCGAACCCGATAAGATCTTTATTTCAGAGTCAGCTGCTTATCTCGAAGCTCGTAATAAATTTCCTCTCAGAAGAACACGATGATTCTGCAATCTCTGCAACGGGGATTCCTTCTTCGTGGCGTTATTCTGTTTTGATTCTTGTGTTCTCATTAATTTCTTGGTTTGAGAAAATGTCCGAGGAAAAATGGCAGATTAATATTTTTCAGGTATTTATGATATATGGGTTTGTATCATTAGTCAGAAGTTTCAGTTTGTCATTCACTTTATCTGAGTTATATTGTCGTAATATATATTTTTTTCTAGCTTGTTGAAATTGCATTCCTTTATTTCTGAATATATCACACGAAATGCACTCTCTGTAAATCCATTCGCTTGTCACCCGATGAACATTTCGAGAAAAATAGATTTCACTTCATTCTCGAACGGAAATATACAGTGACGAACTTTTCACCATAAACAGTATCTCCATCATACCGCTTTTTTTCACCACCGAACCTCACTCATGGCACAGACAGACAACAGCCACAGCCGCTTTCCCGACGCAGAACACGGGCGGGAGTCGGGGAGCTAATACGCCATCTATTGAGTGGACAAGTAGCCCTCAAGGAGAGAGAGAGAGAGACACTCCGCCGTCACTGTTGATAATTCTCCTCGAGATAAACCGGGAGAGGGACGAGGCACTTGGAGGAATGCCTCCCCGATTGTGAAAGATCATTAAATATGTGTCAGATAACGCGTTGATAACTGGTGGATTTAGGGACTCTCGACTCAGGTCAGTTCGGATTTGGACAGTATAGACTCATCGTTAAAGAGAGATAACAGGTGTTTTGTTTTTGATATTTTACTTCTGATATATTCAGAATAATGGTTGTTGTGTTTCATCTTCATTTTGTAAGAGAAAATATGAGACGAATAGGTAATACTTGTGTCTCATTAGTAAAAATGCGTAGATGATAAGGTCAATTTAGTTTCTGGTGCATATCAATTATATCTATTTTTTATATGTATGAGCCCGTTTATTTCCATTGTTTGAGTATATAATGAATACACACATCGCGATAATGGGATCCTATATATATTACGTTTTTGCATTAACTAAATATAGCATATATAGACATTGGAATTTTACGGTATGCTCAGAGGAATTTTCCTGTCAGGTTTTATGATCAAAACTCGATTTCTAAAGTGATTGAAGAGACAAAATAATCGGTGAAATCGCAGGCTTGTTGACTGTTAGTGTTTTATATGTGAGGATTTCATGGAATATATATTTTGTAAATCCAGTGTTTTAAGTACATAAAAAATTATTTCCCAGTTAGTTTTTTCATTTGTTTTATGTGTTCCGACGTCTTTATATTTCTTGTGTAGGTTTATGCTAGAGAAACCAGGACTTTTAAGATCAATTTTATTATAAAAAACATACAATAATTAATCCAATCGCCTGCGAGAGGACATAAAAAGAAAAAGAACAACGATTATGTACATAACATGAAGAAAAATAACAACACTAAATGCCAGGGGATCAGTTGCTCTGCCCTGCATTTAATGCCTGCAAGGAGCAGGAACATTAGCAGCCTTTGCGATGCTTCAGGACGACATGCACGAGTCCTTCAATGGCGGGGCCTACACCATGCGTGGTTCAGGCTGATACGAAGTGCAGCTGGATTCAGTCCGGATAACTGAGAGGTTAGCACACTATGCAGGTCACGTCTGATGACGTCTGTGGGTTGGTATCCCTATCCTGTTCGTTTTCTCTCTTTGGTTTAGGCCGAAATTTTCGTCCGCGCATCATGCAGGTCGCGAGAAAGGGTCTGGTCGTCACGATCTACAGGTCATAAATATTGTCTCTCATGCACCGAGTCTTTAAACGGCGTCTTCGGGTTCGGCATTGGGGTATTGCGCCTCGCCCTCGTAGGTGATCTTGGGGTGGAAGCCGTTGCCATCGGCCACGTAGGTGACGGTCTGGACGCGGCCGTCGGGAAGCTGGATCTTGTAGGATCCCTTGGTCAGTCCTTCCTCGCGCTTCTCCGCGTGGTAGAACTGATTCCCGGTGTTGCCGTCCAGCACGCCGTATCCGAACTCGTAGCCCTTGACTTGTGTGGCCTGAGGAATTGTTTAACCGCTTAAAGGCATGCCCAAAAGGTGTCGACAAGATAAGAGTCCTGCTATACTGATAAAGTTTGCATCACAAGTATGTTATATCTCTCTTGCCCTTATTGATTTTTCCGAGCGAAGATATTTCATAGCCATTCTTAATTTACGCTTAGAGTAGGCACGATCCAACGGATGACATCAACCATGTCCAAGGCAAGGTCGAAGCCAGGATATTCGTCGTCTATGTCAAGCGCACCTACAGCTTAACACTCCTATTCTGCACTCTTCGAGGAGCTCAAAGAGAAATTTTAAATTGCGTTTATACACCAATCTACCTGACCGTAGTCCATACTCGATTCAGGTACTGCACGACTTCATCTTGGTGCCAGTGTATATCGTGCCGCCGCCACCTTCGCGGGACCCGTCACCGGTTTCTTAAAGGCTTCCCGCTGTGTACTGAATTAACTTGGCTGGGCTCACTTCTTGAGGTTGTATTGCGCCGTGACTTGGCACCCATCGTCAGCGACGTTGATTTCATGGCGGAAGAGCCGTCGCTGGCATGGAGAGGTGGCAGGCCTGGCATGGCTCTCTAAACCCCACTTGAAGAGGGCTCGCGGGGATCGAAGATTTAAAGGATGCTCGTGGGTCCTTTGATTCCCTTCCCGAGCTCCTCGATGAATCGGGTTGCTCTGCCTTGATAGAACGTGATGTGAAGCTTACGTCTTGTAGAGAGAGATGGTCTGGGTCAGGCACGTGTTGCTGTAGACACTGACGCTAGTCGTGTCGTCTTTTTCCCACGTCCTCTATCCGTCCACACGCGCCTCCATTGTCCCGCCATCCGCCCCCCCTCACAATGAGCTCTCCAGGCGCGAGGTCCTTTAAGGGCAAAACAGTTAAAAGTCTCTATCACAGACGGTACAGCTCCAAAAAATGTCTCGCGCGCCACTATCATACACTCACCAAGATGACCTCGTCTACCATCTACAGTGTTGCGTAAATCGGTCTACTTCATGTCTAAACTTCTCACAACGAATTAAAATCTTTTACGGAGAGCCTACAGCTGCTAGAGACATACCAAACGCGTTAGTACCAACAATGAAGTGGGGAGTTACTAATTAGCATGACTCCTCTATCTTCTCGAACACTTTGTTGGGCGCATAGACACTCCTATGACGTTAACATCTGTTTAGATCCATTCTCTCTCAGCATCAACATGATCAGAAATGGTCTACATCAGTAGGATCCTATATCCCTCCATGACCCTTGCTTAAAACGTGTTCAAGACACGAATTCACCGATATACCATCCAGGACGCACTCCGAAAGCGCGTGATCAAAGTGAGAACCCACTACAGCACAGACGAGAGCCTAGGACGTCTCTTCCCAGCACCTCTGTGGTGAGCAGGAACCGTTCTATGTCCCGCCGAGCTGCCGGATTCGTCGCGGCGTGCCAGCACCGTCACCACAGGCGTAGGCCTAAGCCGTCCCCAATTCGTACTCCAGACCCCTGCAAAACTCGCTAACACTACCTCGTTCACTAACAACAAGGAGTGGTAATCTCCTACCTCCTCCTTACGCCCTCATGACCCCTTCTCAACGAGCGACGTGGCCGGCTTGAACGAACAGATTGCAATCCCGAACCGAACAAAAAAACACATATACTGGCTTGAAACGATACTACAGTCACCGTTGGCTCGAAACCCTACATGCTCTTGAGCTAACTATGCGTTGAAATTCCTTTCGAGAGCCACCTTCGTAGCCTCAAACCGTGAACCGCCAAGATGTCGAAAGCCCCCATCGACCACCGTGAGTGTGGCTCGCTATGAATGGCTCCACACTCGTGCTGGCGCCGAGTGGGCGGCTGCTCCACTGCCCCACTGAATCCCAGCGAGCAAGCTTGCCGTCTCTCGTCGAGCGCTAACGTCTTCTTCTTGAAGTGTACATCTCCTGAGATCTGTCTTCGTACCTATAACTTGTCGCTTCTCGCTCTGAAAAGTATTCCCCTGTCATACGCATCTTGGCGGACGCTTCATAAGTATATTCTATAATAAATATCCTAAATCCCCCGTATTCATCGCGCTCAGCAAAACCCATGACCACTTAGACGAGGAAGCGCATAGGTCACAAGACTACGCGCAGACCTCTTGACACAGACTGAAAAACCCTAACCGGACTAGTAGAGCCCATGTATCCAATAAACATGGGATCTCAACCAACATCGCGTAGATTCGATCTAAAATGCCTCGAAGATAGATAACTGCATCTTACATTCACAAAACCTACGTGATTACAATATCCCAAGCACTGGATCTCTTTTCTCTCATCCCGTAAGAATCACCAGCCGATTTTCATTTCTTATTATTAATAACGACAACCATATCTCTTTAATCTCTATATAAAAATTTTCAAGTCTGTGATAACATAAAATGACATACAATTCGTATTAGAGTACTATTTAATGCCATAATACGGCATGTAATATGACCTCTATATTATACGTGTTCTCTACTGCGGAATTCCCGATGTTGCATTATTGTGGGTGATGCAGTTTGTCTAAATATAGCTAACATCAACAATGTGATAATGGAGTCGGCGCTATCATAGAAAAAGAATAGATAATACTGCACCAAAACTAAATCGCCGTCTCATCATTACTAGCCGTCAAGTACATAGACTATTCGTTCACTATTGTTCTTTACAAATAAATGAACTCAACAGAGATTATATAAATAATCAAAATATCAAAAACAAAACCTAATCTCTCTTAACATTTCATGTAACCGTCCAAATCTAAGCTAAACTGCAATTCCTAACCTACACTAACCAAACACACTAAACCATACCTTCAATCGACTTTCACAATCCGTTCACAACATGTCCTCCACAACTGACCTCTCCCTCCTGAGGTAGTATCGACAAGGAACCTATAATCAACAGTCACCTCGCAGGCCTCCCTCTCCACTCCTCCTCATGCCGTCCAAGCCATCATCAAATACATCCCATAATTACCTCCCGCCCGACTCCCTCCTCCTTCTGCCTCTTCCCCCCCCGTGCCGCATGTCGCTCCGCTCCCACGCCGCAATACCGAGGTGTTCTCATATATTCAAATGCAAACAACCCCAACCATACAACTTTCATACCTGATCTTCGAATTGTCTTCACCGCACCCCCCCTCACGAAGTACAGTATAACAACTTCCTGTAGCCCGCAACTCGCCTGAGTTGTATAAACCGTTCCAATCGAGCAAGTGCGCCATCGAAGCCAGTGTTCCTCCCGCAGGACACTTGAGAGACGCCGGTGATGTTCTATTGTCTAGCCTTCGGGGCGTTAGTGTCTTCCCAACGACTGCCGCGTTCGAAATCCGCTTCGTGCTGGGACTCGAGAACTTTGCTGCACCCAAAGGAAGAGCAATCAGAGGGTAGCGGTCGTAAATGTGGATTCTTTTTTTTTTCCTGTTTCTTTGTCTGTTAGATAATCTGTTCGTTGATTCTAAGATAATAGAAGCTAAGAAGTCAAATGTGGGAATAAATAAGACTGGATTTAGACTGACATTACAAATCGCTATATTCTCGCGTATGTTTACTTGTACTTAGTTATTGGCCTACAATAGTCTCGACAAGCGTCACATCTAACCCCAGACGACCTAATCCGATCGAATATGACTCGATCTCCCTGCAGCAACAGCCGCTCTTTATGAAATTTACGATAGTCACGGTATTTAAAACGTAACGGAGGATTCACTACGCCAATAATCATCCAATGAGCACGCAAGAACCACGCGAAATTTATGTTTATTCGAGCTATTCCAAACCTAATCCCCATTAAAATTATTTATTACGTATCTAGAATAGCATACGAGCCCAACTGAATTCATTCTGCGCTAATCAAGCCAGGTCTCGCAAATGACAATTTCAATCTAACTTCACCTTCTAAGTGTCATTTCACGTTTCTATCTTCTTCATCTCTGGATAATTCCTAATAACAATTTCCGCTTGAATAGCCAGTCCACTGCATATTATCGCGTTCGATAAGACGACATCAAACTCTACAAAGTTCACCCCGGCAAAGCACAGCGAGTCTCAATTTCGACAACGTTTGTTCACTCCACACGTACCTTCTTACCGTCCAGGTTCAGGAAAATAACCACCGATTTTCGCTCCTCCCTCCAACCTCCCCCCCCCCCCATAATCAAGCACCGTTCGCAATTCTGTTCCTCGTCTGGTCTTCTTCCCTTCATATCCGCATCTTAATGTTAGCTGTTTCCCGGTTCCATCTTCCCTCCAGCTCTTTTCCCTCGTCCTGTAGTCTCCCTTCTTCAATGGCACCTTGATTCATTCCCGGCCGTGTTAGCACCGTCACCCTCGTGTCGTATCTTTTTACCACCCAGATTCTTGTTAGGAAGATTACTAGATCACACGTGGGTGTATTCTCTTTAACCTCGTGCATCTCTCACGAATTAGTTTCCCCATTAGGGTCTCAGCCGGGAAGATTGAGATGCCACTCTTTGAAAGAGTGCACCCATGAATCATTCCCTTCCGACTAGGCGGATAGACAGAACTCCCAAACAGGGGCCGGACCGCATTGACGAGCGCGGGAAAGGCAGACGCAATCATATAAGGGTAGCCCCCACCACCTTGAGCACTTGGCTCCTCAACTACACGCCGTCAGGAGGATGGAGAACGGGAGTAAATTAGAGGGGAAAGGGGGAGAGGGACAGAGATTGAAGCTCAATTCCGCGCCACTAGAGAGAGAGCTAGACGGTCGAGTGGGGAGGAAAAGGGTAAGTGAAAAGACCAGAAAGGCGGAAGGGAGAGGGATAAAGCGGACAAAAGATGCACGGAGAAGAGAGTGAAAGAGAGCTAGGCTGGTCTTATTAGGTTAAATAATGACTAAGCGCGCAGTATAACGGTTTCGTCACCCAACTGCGGCAGGCTATGTGTCTGCTTGTTTATTCACTGTTTAATAACAAGAGAGGAGCTTGCCGTAAATTTACAAAGGAATGTGATGAAATAATGCGTTCATGTTAGCTGACAGAAAATGGATAGTAAAATAGTAATCATTATAAGACTGATGTTGATGATTAATGAAATATCTTCAAACAATGATTCCACTAAAGTAACGATTTGAAATTAGTAATAAAATGAAAATTTATCGTTGTTAATCAACACTTTATATTTTCTAAAGCATTACCTCAAGCTACCCTGCCAGCCACGAACAGCTCGGTTAACTTAAGCATCACAATAAAGAACGTATTTACAGACATTCATTTACGACGACGGGAAAAAAACCTACGAAGTACATACAATCCCAGCGACTTCTTTTCTCCAGTGCCTCATTACACGAATTCCTCGCCACCCCACACAACAACGGAATCTAAATCACACTGAACTCCTAACAAACCCGAACCACAGACAGAGACACCACACTAAAGGAACCGAACTCCCAACGACTCAGCCGAACCACGAGAACCGGAGACACCACTCAAGAGAACTTCTCCGAGGGCCCACGAGGCTCGGGGAAGGCGATGAACACAAGGGCGGCACCTACCCTGTGGATGATCATGGCTGGTCGAGGGAGGGACTCA